AACAAGTCCCTAAAACCAAGGATAAATACACTAAACAAGTCCCTAAAACCAAGGATATATACACTAAACAAGTCCCTAAAACCAAGGATATATATACACTAGACAAGTCCCTAAAACCAAGGATATATATACACTAGACAAGTCCCTAAAACCAAGGATATATATACACTAGACAAGTCCCTAAAACCATGGATAAATACACTAGACAAGTCCCTAAAACCATGGATATATACACTAAACAAGTCCCTAAAACCAAGGATGAACACACTAAACAAGTCCCTAAAACCAAGGATGAACACACTAAACAAGTCCCTAAAACCAAGGATGAACACACTAAACAAGTCCCTAAAACCAAGGATGAATACACTAAACAAGTCCCTAAAACCAAGGATGAATACACTAAACAAGTCCCTAAAACCATGGATGAATACACTAAACAAGTCCCGAAAACCAAGGATAAATACACTAAACAAGTCCCGAAAACCAAGGATAAATACACTAAACAAGTCCCGAAAACCATGGATAAATACACTAAACAAGTCCCTAAAACCAAGGATAAATACACTAGACAAGTCCCTAAAACCAAGGATAAATACACTAAACAAGTCCCTAAACCCAAAATCTCGAAAAATCTTATTTACGTCGCTTGTTAACGTTATTCAACAGTCCGAATTTTAAGAGTAAAACGTTCGCTACTTCGGTGTTGATGAAAGGTTTGGTCAAAGTTCTAACATGTTAACAAACGTTTCAACAGTCGTTGCATAATGATCCACTCGAACTTAATTTTGAGAAGCAAGGAACATTTATTTTTACTATTGTCATTCCTGATAATTTGTTGTTTTAAACCCGGAAGAGGTCATCGGGGGGCATTTTGTCTTATTCTACCCCAAATACAAACTATTATTAAGTACGGTAGTATTTAATAGTAGGGATCGACAAGATTTCCAAATAATTCACGCGCCGAAAAACCACCCTATTGAATTCGTAAGCGATAAACCGACCATTCAAGGTATTGGTTACGATATATTATGCGCATATATAATAGTAATACGCTATAAGGTTGCTAACATTTCCAGGATAACAATTCAAAAAATTCTAAAACAGCAATGTTTTCGTCTACAACCGACCCACCTACTTGATCCCGTCAACGGGGCTAGCCCCAAGACGGCTCAGACTATCGCTACAAGGTTTCCCCAGCTTACTTGAATGGTTTCTGGGTATCCGCTTTGATATAATAAATATAATATAAATTATAAACATATCATGCACGTACTTAAATATCTTTTCAACGCAATGGATGGCGCTACATGTCAATGAATAGACACGTGACAGATTCTAAAGATAAAGTATTTACTTTATAAAGATATAACAAAAAAAATAAACAAACAAGATTATTAAAAATTTATGAATTTTAAAATGAAGTCGGGATCCTGCTACAAAAAGTAATGAAACAAGAATTAAAACCACAATCAAATGTATACAGTTTAATCCCTACTTTGGCAGCTTTATACACTTATCTGTAGGCCAAAGTAATGATTACATTTTATAAATTTGTAATTGTGGTTTTATTTCTTGTAAAAGTTATAGCTATCGGGGATATGGCTATACTGAAATTTATAGATGTTGTGTCCAGTCCATGGAGATATAAAAACTGAACAAATAAATCTGAAAAAAATTACAATTTTAACGGAAAGTAGGGATTGTTGGTTATTTGTAGAATTGCTATAAGAAGTATCCAAAACAAAATAAATGCTACAATTAAAAAAGTACACAAACAAGTAAAGTGATACTACTTGGATTGTGATCCCTATAGCTAAATGAAGCAGTCTAAATTTGCCAACCAAAGTAGGGTTTGAAAATCGGTTTATGGAGCCATATTTCATGTTTGCCCTGGGCGACCCTAATTACACAAACATTTTTACATGTTCTACAGTAATTCCTGTACGCTGAATCCGAAATTGATATTCATTTTTCTTCATCACGTACAGATTTTTCAGAAAACGTCATAACGCAATACACAAAAGAATAACCACAACATGTAGTTTTGAGACTAAACGACGAAGATTTCACAAAAACAAAATCAGGATGAATGAGGATGCATATTCGTTTGACATCAGTGTTATTCTCTCTTCTTCAGCTAGTTTGTATTTTTTATTAACAAACTTAGTAATACAAATATTCATTGTGATAAACAAAATAATAATTTGATCTAAGTAAGAGTTTTTCTTTTTTCTTCCCGATTTGTAAAAATATCCTTACGTGATAGAAAAAAAAAATAATATTATTTTCGAAATCTGCATAACTGAATTATGGAAAATCCGTTATTAAAACCAAAACAAATTTTATGAAGTTTAAATTCGCATGCCTGTGTTATTAAACAATACAGTTTGGTTTGGCTTTTAATTATAGCCATCTCTAATCTTGAATTGATAAACTAGAGGGCAGGCAAATAATCACTAGCACCCTAAACCCAACTCTTGGGCTGCTCTTTTCTCATTGAGTAGTGTGATTTTACCGTCACACGTATAGTGTATTCTCGGTCCGAAAGTGTAGAGCGCGTTATTTTAGCAACGAAACACGAACCTTAAGATACAGTTCACATGCTAAACCATACACACCAACGTTTTTACCTATTGTGTGTCTACTCACTGTCATAGATTGCATACTTTAAAACATCTACAAAGCACAGGAAGAGTCAAATACTTCGTCAGTTCGACGAAGAAACATTGCTTCCGTTGTACTATAGATGATATACAGGACCAACTGAAACAACCGAGTTGTTAGCCTTTCATTGACGCAATCATTCTACAACTTAGTCTGTTAGTCTTAGAAATACTTCACTAAATACTTCGAAAGTTGCCTGTTTATTACAAAGATTACTTGAGAAGTTTGTCTTAATTTTTTTTATTTTTTTTGTGAGAAAATTCTACAATTTCCTAATTACATATGTATTAAGATTGAACTTTAAAAATATTACATGTGGTTTTTAAAAAGCAATATGTTTTGGTCACAGACTTGCCGGATGTCCCGTAGCAGCACGTAAAAGGAAACATCCCACAACAGAGAGAGACAATTTAGATGTGTTGATGAAGACACGCAGACAGCAAGATTCCAAAGACACATCCAACCCTGTGGAGCACAGAGGAAAGAGTGGGTCAAAAAGAGAACCGACAGCTGAAAAAAATGAAAGAGAAACCAAGCCAATTCGCGACCGAAAAGAGTGTCAACGTAAAGAAGAACGAACTAAACGCGTATCAAATCTGGAAAAAATCAGACACAGTTCCTGTGAGTCAAAGCGTACACAGATAAAAGGCAGCGTGAAACAAGATATAGCTCATAAGAAGATGTGGGTAGGAAATAAAAACGACAATAAATCAATACAGAAAAGTCTAAAAAAATCCACTCAGTCTGATCGAAAGGCAGAGCTTGAAAAATCTTGTTTGTCTAAAGAAGATTCAACAAAACGAACGATGGTAAAGCAAAATACAACCAAAGATAAACATTTATCGAAATATAAAGTACAGGAAACACAACTGCGTTTCTCCAATATTTCTTGCAACCAAACAGAAGGAAAAGATGGTAACATAGAAGGTGGAGATAAAGATGAAGGCACAGTTGGGGAATCAGATAAGTCTTTAAGATTTGATGAAGGAAAGAACTTGTCGGAGAATCCAGGTTTTCTTCACACTACTGAAAACACGAGAGACCAACAAGATGTTGATGTGGACACCAAGAGAATCCTAGAAGCTGAAGCTGCCTTAAGAAGCCTTTCTGGAAACATGGAAGAGCCTGAAAAAACGGGTAGTATAGGAGAAACTGATGAAAACCTTATGTTTGAGAACTTATTTGAGAAAAAAGAGGAGGAATTTAAGGATTCGAAATGTGTCACCAAATCAAGTTCCTGGAAAGACGTAGTGACTTTGAGTGGTTCATCTTGTAGCAGCGGTGACAGATCTCCAATTCAGTCATCCGTGGTTTCATTTCCCGATTGTGGGAGCAAACAGGATGCTGGCTTTTCTGGTTCTGATGAACAGAAAGATAATGTAGTTTCCAATCTGAAACCGAATTCACCTAATGAAGACACTGACATAGACTTGAAGGATAAACACGTGAGTGACGGTAAGGAACCTGAAAAAGACGAAAGCTGTGCTGAGATCGAAAAAGAGGATATCTACGATGTAGAAAATTTATTGAAGATTGAAGAGAAATGCGCTACAATACAGTCAGTTGTACCTTCTTGCTCTATGAAAATAGATACAATGACGGATTGTTCAGTGGAGGAAAATGACAGCGAGAATGACGAAGAATTTGACGAATGCGTGAAGAATGAAAGACAGGAAAACACATCCCCAAAACCTGCTATAAGAAGTAACCCTTACAGTGAACCTGAAAATGTTGAAAAGAACTTGCCGTTTTTATCACCATCTAAAACTTATACAGAGAGTGAACAAACATTCTGTTATGCAACATCACAACTTTCCAATAGCAGTTTACCCTCTCCCGAAAGACGTTCGTCACAAACAGAGGAGCTAACCCCAGGACATCAACCTTCACAGTCCTATTCCATGGAGAATAACTCAACAATTAGGGATGGTGACTCAAACTCCAGATCCTCTGTTGTAGGAAGCATATCAGGACATCAACCTTCACTGTCCTATTCCATGGAGAATAACTCAACAATTAGGGAAGGTGATTCAAACTCCAGATCCTCTGTTGTAGGAAGCATATCAGGACATCAACCTTCACTGTCCTATTCCATGGAAAATAACTCAACAATTAGGGAAGGTGACTCAAGCTCCAGATCCTCTGCTGTAGGAAGCATATCAGGACATCAACCTTCACTGTCCTATTCCATGGAGAATAACTCAACAATTAGGGAAGGTGACTCAAGCTCCAGATCCTCTGCAGTAGAAAACACATCCGCAACCCCTACAAATAGTCACTACTCCAATGACATTTCAAAATATTTAACTTCATGTGTTTCCCAATCTGGAAGTCTAACGAGTCCTGCAAATTTATCTCTCACCTGCAGGTCCTCTCCGAAACAGGTTCAGGAACCAATATTGTCCTTTTCTACTATTCAACATGAATCCAAAAGTCAAACTGTCTTAAAGTTGACTCCTTTTGTAAATACAAGTAACACACTAGCCTACCACTCTAGTCTCGGCTGTGGCGCTGAAAACTTAACAAACACTTACATTACGACGCCATCTTTAACCTTAAGCTCTGTACCACACGTCGACCCCAACACGTCAACTCCAAATGCAGCAATTGGCTGCCCACCATCTACTGAACCACCTCAGGCTCGAAGTTATTCATATCCAGAAAAGAAGATACACACAACATGTGAGAAATCAAACATGGCGGAGGACTATTTACTTCCTCTACCAGACGACGACAATCCTCTCGTCATCGACGAAGATGAAATTGAAACCACTGACGACCTTGAACCTCCTCTTACCCCTGGTCCATCCACATCCTTTCCTTCAGCCACAAACATGGAAAAAGAAATGGCTGATGGGTGTAAAGGTAAGCTAAGTATGAACTTTACAGACGTGTACAATTATGATGTATTTACTTCCAACTTGGTCATGGTAATTTAATATTACTACAGATTGTACTTTTTATAGACTTTCTACCCATCTTAAGAAGTAAAAAGAAGCGCAAAAGTAAATTTGAAAACGAAATATGTTGTTGTATATCTGATAAGCAATTATACTGGAGAACAGGTAAGGACTTTGCAGGTAACAACATTGTATACGTGAAACAAAATTTAAACTCGATAACAAGAGTTACTATTTATTAAGCAGTTTATAAAGAACAATTATATTATACGTTCTAAGCACTGGATATAAACTGTTAGTTAATAGCTAGTTTTTAATCTTGAAAACTTGGTTTGTTAATAATTAATTAAATAACTAATCAATAAAATTTATTATCAGAATAGCCAAATCAGGAGGCTGTAGCTTCTCCAAGACTTTTTATCGATAGTGCTTTTACTTATATTCCTTAATAGTATAAATATATATTATGTTGTTAGGCTTAGGATTCTTCTACGGTAGGTGTCTGTGATATGTTAGCGATAAATTCAACGATGAATAGACAGCACGCACTTCACTTGTTCTCAAAATAATATATATACACACACACACACATATTCAGAACAAGTTAACGTATGTACAAACATTATTCAACACTACAGATATTATGGGCATATAATAAATACTATATATATGTATCTCCTTCTTGTCAAATATACACTTAGGCCTATTCAATTAATTTAGAATTTCAGTTGACAAGCCGAACTATTTTCTCAATTTCTATCGCACTAGTATTCCCTGTGATTCACTTACAGTTGTGGTGCGAGTTACCGCAATCGTTTGTTCTTCTTTCTTCTAAAGATCCTCTGTTCCTTTTGCCAAAGCGCATTCAGGCTGATTCAATTACTTTAGAACCACGCTTTGACGGAATAAATTATTTTTATTATCTCAGTTTCTACTGTTAGTCTTACTCTAACACATTAAACGTTAGACCTATCACTTCTACGGTAGTTAACTTTTCCTTTTGTAACTTTATTTTCTTCTATTATTTGTTTCTGTTCGGCTCACGCTATTTATATCTATCACTTAATCGTCTGTCCGCCTTCTATATTCTCGACGTCAATGAATAGCACGAGACGTTCGATAGTCTCAACATCAGTAACTTATAAACACAACTTCCAACAGTCGTCTGCTTTTAATTATTATTATGACAAAAACTAAAAATAAAATATTGACTCACAAAATATATTAATCAATAATATCTAAGCTAAACAGTCTTATATCATGACAGAGTCCACCAACTCACATCTTCTATAAATCTCGTTCTATAAATCTGTAAGAATGTATTAGCTGCCATAAGTAGAGGAGTCAAAAACCCAGTTTATTGACTCCCACCAAGTGTGTTCTTCTTTACAAGACCGTTCTATAAATTTGTAGAAGATACTAGCCGCCGTTAGTAGAGTAGTCAAAACCCAGTTTATTGACTCCCAGCAAATGTGTTGTTCTTTCCAGTCTCGTTATGTGTATATATATATATATATCTGTTAAAAGGTACTAGCTAAACAAAGTCCAGCATATGACTGCAGTTGAATGGAACTGTTTACACGTTCCATGATGTAAGAGGACAACTCAGGCAACTAGTCTCAGATCAACTTTTTGTTTAAAATATTCTGTCAGAAGGATTGGTATTTTTCGGGTGGGTGGATTAAAACAGATATCATAAGTGAAATTATAGTAATAATTTCCCTATCTCAGTCATGGGTATTAACCACTGAAGTATATTTAATTTTTTTACAAATTATTTTAAATCTTACCCTTTAGTGAAATAAAATTTTCACGCACATTTAACTAGTATTTAATGAAATTAAAGTTCAATAAATTATCATCGACAGGTGCGACAACAATAAATTAAAAAAATAAATTCAAGTCGCCTTCGTTTCTCCTAGAGGTTCAGCGGTAAAACTAAGAAGTTTTAACGCTAAATATCGGATTTCGATACCCGTGGTTGACACAGCACAGCTAGTCCATTATATACAACAAAACAAAGCACCACCTGTTGGCAGAAAAAGAAACAACATACTTTACTTGACACTGATACCCCCTCTATATATCTGAGATTTTCTCACATAATAAAGAATGATGGCTTCAAAACAAAAGGCCCTCTTAATTTTTTTTTTTTTTTTT